TTTCAAATCTAGCTTTTGACTTGTTSACTAATTAGCTGGTTCGCTAATGCTTGATTAGGTCTTACCGATGAGAATGAATCTGTTCGCGATGTAGCCCTGGATGCTGGCCATGTACTGGTAAAGCACCATGCAACAATATGCGAATTTGCACTACACCTGTTTCTCGTTGATTTTCCGTTTTGCATGGTTTGACCATTTGATTTACTGTTGGCTTACTATCATGCGTAGATTAGTTAGATTTGCAACCATTTGATTAGTTCTTTAATGGTGTTACTAGGTACCACTTTTATTCTTCTTGAGGCAGTTGTAGTTTATAAATTGGAGTAACCTGTGATAGATCAAACCAAAAGTATTTATTTGAATTGATTGTTAATAGTTAGGATTTTAGGTCTTGTATCAGGATCCTGTATAGAATCCGTCAAAGTTCTGTCGAAATACTTGGGGATTTTTTGTGCTATGTTTTTCTTGTTCTTTACTCTACCTCTGAAATACTATAGCCCAGGATTTACTTGGTAATCATTGTCCTCATCCTGCTAACCTGTTATATTGATCTTGCAATGCTTGTTTTTAGCATATATTCGTAAATGTACAGGTTCTATGTTAATGAAATAATGTTTCTGATGTAATCTCTGTTCTCTGTGTTCTTTAGATGTCAATGTGTCGTTCATGTTTTCTGAGACTGGAATTTCTTGTTTCTAGTTCCAAACAACGGACTTACGGGCTGTTTTTTTGTCGTTCTGTAAGGACCCAGAAGACGATCTAGGTATCATTGGAAAGCCCCGAGTCTTAGCTTTCCAGAGCAACCGAGTTCGGTTTAATCTGAAATTTGAAACGCGTATGATAACCATTTTCCCTAAGGTGAGTGCGTGACCATGGTTTATCTAGGTAAAGAAATTGATGGAATATGATTGTTTGCTGTTATTTGGATTGGATTCTGTTTGTTTTGTTGATGGATTCGTGCAGGAGATCGATGAATCGCTTTGGATTTGAGCCATGAGAGGATAGGCTCGATCCTCACGATCTACAGCGATGCATCGATCGACACCTAGTGGTTGTGTCGATCGACGCGTCTTCTGGACTGATTCATGTTGCTTGTTCGTGCATGTATTGTTGTTTGCTCATCCTGGT